GGGGGGGCGCGAGCATATCGAAAATAAAAGATTAAAAAAAATTATTTACTGGAATGAAGTAAAAAAAAAAAATACTTTCTGACATAATAAAAAACACACATTTACACTGATATAATTTATATATATCATCTGCGATATTACGTCATAAAAAATAAAAGCTTCAACTTCAAAACCTCATTATCTATCTTTGAGATACTATAACCAAATAAAAAACATTTTATTTGATTTGCGGTAATCCCATGATGAGAGATTTTTTTATTACGTGTTCTTTTCAAATTTAAAATACTACTCTTTCAGAGAAAAAACAAAACCCAGATAAAAATTTCATCACTGTTATATTATTGAAATATTGTACATTAGCTGTAGGCAGAGCAGAATGTATTTGCTGCGGTTTGACCTTCGAACTTACTTGTACGGTTAGTTACGTCCCTGCTCTCTTATGTATTTGTTTTTTCATTTGGGATATTGTAAATAAGCTATTTCTGCTGCGTTTTTTTCCTTGTAAAATATGCTTATGATTTCTGGAAAAGCATAGAGAGCACTTTGAAGGATTACTTGGCCAAGATTTATTTTTGAGTATTCCCAAACATATAAAGCATAATGAAAAACGTTTTACACAATTTTTTTAAAGCATCCATATTGTATTAAATACACTTTTAATCCGGGAGCGGTCACGCCGAGCACTGAGCGCACGAAATCGGTAATTCTGTGACAAAACTGTTTAATTGTTACCAATGGCCCTGACACTATCCTCCTGTTTGACAGTTTTAACGTGAACTTAAATATATTTGTCCCATATCTCCCTCTTTTTTGGGAGTGACAAACGTTTTTTTTTACAATCTTAAGGTACTTGTTTTGACTGAGTTCCCGGTGCGATCACTTTTTTTCCAAAATATTTTTTGTGTTCATGTTACATCCCCCACCCTATGAATAACTTAGTGACTTCGACTGCCTTGTTGTACGACTTATTGTGGTTTGGTAAATGTTTGGTAAATGATTAGAATATATATTTTAAAAAAAAATGGGCATCTTTGATCTCTATTGAAAGATGTTAAAACTGAAAAAAAGGGATGAACCTGCTGAAATAATGCATATTAAAGTAAATTTGAGAAAAGCGATGAACATGAAACGAAAGAAAAATTTTCAAATGCTACCAAAAGAACCCCATCAACTAAAGTATGAAGCTATAAATATCAGAAGACACACTTTGCTTTGTCAAAAACACACAAGCAAGCAAAAGTTCAACATGCTATTTGTCGAACATCAAAGGACTGTAAAATTACAATAACGAACAAAATATGACAGTTTTGCCTGCAAATAACATTCCTGTAATGTTAGCGAAAAGTCTGTGATTTGTGTCTTTTTTTAAGGTCACGCACAGTTTAAACATTTTAGTTCAGTTTTCTTGGATTTTTTCCTAGAATTAGCAAAGAAAAATTGAAAAGTCTTTGAAAGAAGGTAAGTATATTTTCTCTTAAGTAAATTATTCACTAGAATTACGATTTTTATTGTGTACTATAAAAATAATTATGAAAAAAGGATTGGGGTGACTCAATAACCCCGCTTCACTATCAGTATCGAGTGATCACCTGCTGCCGGGGTTAAAACATGTTGAAGACTTTTCGCTTTAAATATTAAAAATAATACAATTATTCTTCATCGGAATTGTATGTTATTGTTCATTATTCAACATCAATTCTAAATGCTAATTCTGTGAGGCTTAAAATTACAATTCCTTAAAGCTAATTATAATTTGAGCAATCATTTAAAAAAAATCATTTTACATATTTGTAAACATTGTCTCGCACTTGGCTTTACTTTCCTTACAATTCAGCGATTATATCAATAATGTTTTATTTTCTTATAAATGAACTCGTGCAAAGAGCGGGTACTTCAGCCGGTATACTTTTAATGTATTAGTGTGCTGCACAGAGTATTTTATAACTAATTAATTAATACTAAATTAAGAACAAGTTTTTTTAATAAGTATTAGCGACTTCTATGGGCTTGTCTTGCAGAGCAGAATGCTTATGATTAGAAACTGACCCTCTGATTTCTTTTTCTATATTTAGCTGATATCTATATTTTGTCTTCTAAGCAGCCACCGCATTTTGCAATATGTTCCAATTTAAAAAT